ACCTTTTGTTTTTTTTCTCAGTTTCATGGTGTAGTTACAGACTTCATATCACTTTAGTTTAAAAAAATAATGTTTCATGTTTAACTCTCTTCAAATTTGTTTCTTCCTTCCCTAGTTTCATTGTCTAACGTAAACCTGAAGTGATTGCATTGTTTAATCATTAAAACTTTGTTTTAAAATGTATGTTTCATGTTCTTTTGAATTCTCACTGTTACTTCTTTTCTTCAGTTTCATGGTACAGTTTACCAGGAGTGATGAATGAAAATTAGGTCTATCATTTCAGGCTCGCTTTTGAAATGATGTTTACTGTTATACTCACATTTGTTTCTCAGTTTCATAGAATAGTTTATCTCAGGAATAACTGATTAGGCCAAGTTCTAATCATTTTAAGCTTGTTTTTAAAATGTTTTACATTCTACTGACTTCACACTATTTGTTTTTTCTGCAGTTTCATGGTGTAGTTTATACCTGAACTGAATGAGTGGTAATCATTCTGAGGTTGGTTTTTGAATAGATGTCAAATGTTCAACTCACTTTTTATTTGTTTCGGAGATTCATGGTATAGCTAATGCCAACAGCAACTAGTAGATCAGACCGAGTTCTAATCAATTAAATATGTTTTTGCAATGTGTCATGTTCTATTTACTTCTCACTTTTTCCTTTTTCCTTATTTTCACGGTATAGTTTTTACCATGGTATAGTTCTTACCACGAGTAACTCATCTGACAAAGTGCTAATGATTCTAAGTTAGTTTTGAAAATGATGTGTAGTGTTCTTCATTTTTACTTTATTCTCCCAGTTAGACTATAGCATGGTGTTTACTAAAGTACTAATCGTTTTGTCACTATTTGTTTCTTCATTTCTGAGTTCTGTAGTGTAAGTTTTACAAGTAACTGATATGACAAAGTTGACTTGTAGTTGGTGTGATCATGAAATGATGTAGGTTAATTTCATCATTTTTCAGTGTTTGTTTCCCCTTTTTTCAAGACCATAGTATGGTTTTACTGCGAGTAGTACCAGTGTGTTTGTGCTTGAGTTTCATTATGCAATGTTGGTTTTAAAAATGATGTATTCTCTAATATCTTTTAACTACTTTGTTTTATATTTTGAGATAGTATAGTTTTATACCAGTGGTGACTGATCTGACTAAGTTTTCTTTTTTTGTGATTGTCATAAAATGATGTTCATGTACTAATTCTCAAAATTGCTTCTTCCTTTCACTGTTCCATGGTACATTTAAAACAGGAGTGACTAGTTGATCAGACTTAGTTCTTATTACTTATGGTTAGTTTTAAATTGATCTGCAAAGAACTATTCTCACACTTAGTTTCCTTTCTCAATATTTAAGTATAGTTTAAAGTACCAGAAGTGACCTATTAGACTGAGTTTTTACCATTTAAGGTTGAAATTTAAAGCAACATTTCATGTCCTACTCAGTTCTCATTAGTTTTTCTTTTCTCAGTTTCATGGTGTATCTTGTACCAGGACTGACTAATTAGGCTCAGGTCTTACAACTTGTGGTAGGTTTAAAATAATATTTCATGAACTTTTGACTTCTAATTATTTGTTCCTTCTTTTCTGTCGTATCGCCTTTATACCTGGATTGACCAAATTCCTAAAGTCCTTTAAGGGTGTTTTTGATATGCCTAATTTTCCTCTCATTTGACATTTGTTTCTTCTTTCCCAGTTTCATATGGTGTATACCTGATGTGACTAATCATCTATCATTTGGTCTTTGTTTCAAAATGATTTTTCATGTACTTTTGACTTCTGACTATTTGATTTTTTATTTCTCACTTTGATGTATACTATGTTTATATCAAAAGTGATTAGTCAGACTCAGTTATTGTCATTCGAGGTTAGTTTTAAAATGATGTGTCATGACCCAGTAACTTGCCACTATTTGTTTCTGCTTTTCTCAGTTTCATAGTAGAATATTCCATGTACTTTAGACTTTTAACTATTTGTATCATTTTTTCAAGTTTTATAATGTGGTTTATGTAATAGATGGAGCATTGCTTGGAGTGGTTTATCAGATATACACCGAAAATGATATTCATAATCCCGAGGGCGTAGCCCGAGGGATTATGAATATCATTTGAGGTGTATATCTGATAAACCCAAAGAAGCCATGTTACATATTTTTGTACTCATTGGAAGGCATAATGATGAATATTTAGGCTTACCTGTCACCATAAGATTGCTAAAAATCGTCCAGTAGTAGCAAAAATCATAAAAATACTTCTTTAAGCGGCAACGCCATTTTAATAGCCTTGCATGTGGTCAGCTTCTCAGTTTATACAAGGGCAATTCTTAATGATATTCATTGCTGTAGCAGGAAGTTTACATCATACTTTCTCCAATTTGAGACCCACAATAGCCTGATACAAAAGTCTGGCTTATAAGCTCAGCTTGATTTTAAGGTTTTGAAGGGAGAGACTCCTTTGGGGGACTCCTAATTTTTTACTCATGGACCTGTCAGGACAAAACTGTCCTGAGCAAAAGGTCAAAGTTCACGGGATCCCTTCTTTCCCTGGTGTATCATGTATACAACACTGTGTGCAACTTTCATCTAATGGCTTCCTATGGTACAAAGTAGAATGGACATTCAAGGTTTCATTTAATATAATGCTTAATGTACTTTTGAGTTTTCAAATTTGTTTATTTTTTCAAATTTATGGCACAGTTTATACCAAGAGTCACTGATCCAACTTATTTGAGATTGGTTTTCAAAATATTTGTTTCACTCACTTTGCATCTCTTTCTCTTCTCAGGTTCATATCACGTATATCAAGTGTGACTCATCAGATTGAGTTCCTATCATTTCAGGTTGCATTTTATGATGTCTTATGTAACTTATCAGGCCGAGTTGCAATCTAATGGGATTGGTTTTTAAAATGTGTTCTACTCACTAATCGCTTATTTTTCTCAGTTTCACAGTATAGTTTATACTTGGAGTGAATGAACCAACCTCATATGATAGACCTTAATAAAGCCAACCTTAAATAATAGGATCTAAGTCTGATCAGTCACCCTGGTAAAAACTAAACTATGAAACTGAGAAATGAAAAAATAGTGATAAGTAACATTACATTAAACATTATTTTAAAACCAATCTTAAATGATAAGAACTCTGTCTGATTTGTCACTCCTTGTATACACCTTAAAATGAAACTGAGTAAAGTAGAAACAAATAGTGAGATGTAGAACATAAAACATCATTCGAAAATCAATTTTGCGTGATAAGAATTGAAACTGATCAGTCACTCCTCATTTACAAAACTGAGAAAAGAAGCAAATAGGGAAAAATTATTAGTTCACGGAACATCGTTTCAAAACTAATTTCAACTGATAATAACTAAGTGATCAGTAGGTATCTAGTATTTAATGTTATTATAAAGTTGATAAAAGACGTAAGAAATAGTGAGCAATTAGAACTAAATGAAACATGTTTTGCAAACAATTTGAAATAAGAACTCTGACGTCTCATCTATTACTTCCGGTACACACCATAGTATGCATAATACATCTTAGCCAAACCAACATCCAATGATAAGAACTCAGGTTGATCAGTCATTGTTTTTAAACAATAATATAAAACAGAGAAAAGTAAAAATGAACAACTGGGAAGTAGAACATAAAACATCAGTCTAAAAACCAACTTCAAGTGATTAAAAACAGTCCAAACAGTTACTTATGGTATAAATTAAACTATAAAACTGAGAAGTGAAAAAAATGTAAATTAAACATTTGAAAAAGCGACCTTAAATGATACAAAATCAGTTTGATTAGTCACTGCTGGTGTAAACTGTACCATAAAACTGAACAGTGAATAGTCAGAAGTTCATTAAACATTTTAAAACGAAGCTTAAATGATAAAATAAATAGTTACTTTAAGTATACACTATTCCATGAAACTGGGAAAAGGAAAACAATTGTGAAATTGGTGGAAAATAAAACATTATTAAAAAAATTTAACCTTAGATGATAAGAACTGTTAGTCCAGGTATAAATGACACTGTAAAACAGAGAAAAGAGTTTGGAGTCGAAAGTACAAGACAACATTTCAAAACTGCATCAAATGATAAGAGCTCAGTGTATTCAGTCACTTCTGGTATACATCATCCAATGAAACTGAAAAAAACAAATGTAAAGTGAGTGGAAAATCCAACATTATTTCAAAAACTCAAACTTTGATGATAAGAACTCAGTGAGTTTACGTATGAACTACACCATGAAAATAACTAAAGAAAAAACAATTGAGAAGTGAGAAAAAAACATGAAACCATAATTCAGAATCCAACCTTAAATGATAAAAACTCTGTCTGATCAGTCATTTCTGGTATTTTAAAAATACTATGAAACTGAGAAAACAAAAAAAATAGTAAGAAGTTAGTAGTACATGACATCATTTTAAAAACAATTTCAATTGATCAGGAATCAGTCACTTAAGTACACACCTAAGTATGAAACTGAATAAAGGAGAAACAAAATTTATAGTGACAGGTCAGTAGAACATAAACATTACTTCAAAAATCAACGAAATGATCAGAACATTGTCTGATTCTATCAGTTACTTCTGGTATAAACAATACTATAAAACTGAGAAACAAAGAACATAAGAAACAAAAAGTGAGAATGTAGACCATAAAGCAATATTTCAAAAACCAATTAAAACCCAGTCCAATCTGTTACTCTGGTATTAACTATAGTATAAAGCTGGGAACAGAAGAATTAGATGTGAAGTGAATGGAACATAAAACATAAACGTGAAATGATAAGAACTGACTTGTCTTTGTAGAGTATTTTACTTCACTTTGTACATCAACTTTTGAGTATCGACAAGATTGTAGGCTGTGACATATTCTAAAAAAAACCAGCGCACAAACGAGCCAGTATGAAGGAAGTTTTTCCATTAGTATTGTAGAAAGGTAAAAGTTGTCATTGAATTTTTGATCACATCTAAAAATAGAATTGAGTGTTACAGTGGTAGCTCATCACAATTCACCACTCCTGATGCCATATATATTCTTCAGGAGTGAAGCTAAGGAACTTTTATCATAGGTGGCATGGTAAGCTGTTTACTTTTTCTTCTTTTTATATGTTAGGTATAATGTTTGTAGGGACTAAAAATGTAGCAAAAGCAATGACAACTATGGCAACAGGAGCAAACAAAGTGTCAGTTATAAATTGGTATCCAGAACTTTCAGGTAAGGGTATAAAATAATGTAAAACAATTTGACTACATACTTGTATCATAGGAAAGAGTACGAAGACAAATGTGTACTACAGTATGAAGAACTGCAATAAGTCTCTAAGGAATTTACAAGACTCAATCACAAATATTGGGGGTATCATTATCAAGTTAGATATTTTTGATGTTAGTATGCTATTATTTGTATGTGATAGGGAATCACTCCAACTGCAATCAGTCATGTAGCAGTAGACGCCTTGGGTATGCACAATCAAAGAAGCTAATTGACCCTATGAAGTGGAAGCATACGCTAGAAAGTTAAAGTAAACCTTGATATATGTAAATGCTAAATTATACTGTAATATATGTAATACGGTAGACAGGTCTGTATCCGGTTTAGAAGACCCGAGGCCGAGGTTGAGGGCGTTACTGATAGATATTGGCCTAAGGCAAAGCCAAGGGCTGCTATCCAACCAGTAACACCTGAAACCGAGGCCAAGAGTCTGTTAAAACAAATACAGACCTCTCTACCATACAATGTAAAATAATTACATCGTATTTATATGACACAATTTTAGGATTTAACTAGTGAATAACTATATTGAGCATGCGCATACCCGTATCAAGCACATTTCGTGCAATGGCTGACAAGGAACAGGCAAAGCAGTGAATTTGTCGACATCATTGTCTTCTCGTCCTTGTTACTGAACAGTGGTAGTCTGCTTTACTGTGGACGGGGAAGGAGGAGGCTGGTGGAGAGAAAAAGAATTAGGCAACTGAGGAGAGTTGAGAAGACAGTAAGGATCAAAACTGAAGAGAGTGAGCGAAGAGGAGTGGAAAGGACATTAATCTAGAAGGGATGCTTTCCAAGCGACTTCCCATAACCCACTCAGTGCTTTGAGCAGTGTTTTTTGGGAACAAAGCCCTTACTAGCTTCAATTACAGCACTTTCCTCCACTTTCCTAAGGTGGTCATTCATCATCGGCCTTTAAAAATTGAGAAACCTTATCTTCTCAGAGGATGACAACTGTGGACTTAAAATTACTTCTCTGATCAATTCTGTTTTATTTTACTGAATTAAATTTTATTTTTAAGATTGTTCACTTAGTGACAGGTCTGATATTTGCAGATATCAGACCTGTTTCTAGATATAGACCTTGCGGCTCCTTTGAGTGACATCATATATATATGATTTATATTCTTAAAATACAGTGTTTTACAGTCTCTTGATACATTTTGGGTGGAGTTTTTGAATCGTCATCTACTCACTTCAAAAAGATTTATTTCGCTACTGCAACTAAGAATCAATATAGCAATTGTGGAGTGCTGATATTTACTAAATACTGATTGAAGTGATATTCATAGATTAAAATGTTAAAAGATCACATATGAGTGAACAGTATACCTTTGGCATTTGAAGACCAGATAGGCGTACACCATTTAAAGCATTAGCTGAGAAGACATACCAGTTTGTTATAATGTGTGGAAGGTATATTTACAGAAAAATCAAATAGACATAAGGTAATTTAATTATATTATGCTTATGATTTTTAACTTTTGAAGTGGTAAGATTTTTGAGTGATATAATTAAAAATTTTTGATACCATCAATGTAGGTGATGGTTGTGAGCCTTACAATTTATACAAGCAAGGACTTATTTACGAAGAATTACATGTATAGTGGAAAAGAGCAAAGATTACAATCAGACTAACATTAATGATTTCATTATTAGGATTGCTGAAAGTCTGTGTATGGGATAAATCATCACCGTCACTACTCTCTAAAGTAGCCTCTGGCTCATATTGATCAGGTGCAATACCCAATTCTTTATTTGTGACGACATAACTGGCTCCAGCATCATCAAAAACTTTCAAGTCCACCTGTCTAATGCCCCCTTTTAAGTCAAAAAGTGACCACCCCCAAAACTGAAAGTAAATTGTAAAGTTTGTAGATAGGTTTAGTAAAGTGAATTTGTCCTGAAATTTTAAGTTTTAACCTATCATTTCAATGTAAAGAAAATTGAATTTTTTCACGATAGTTACCCTTCAAAACTCTGAGGTGTAAAATGAGAAGATAAAGCAATTACTTGAGCAGAGAATGTAGAATTTGAGGATCTTAGTAACTATGTCCAGTTAGAGTAGAGTTAGCACACAATCTCATTCTAATGGCAAAAGTGAGGAGCCTTCAGCCAAAGAAGCAGTTATTCAGTTTTATGGAGATCAAAAATGACAAAAATGGAGGAACTGATGATGATTTTGATGTGTACTGAAGGCACCATGCTTGGAATGGAAAATTGACCCTCTCACTTCAAGGATGATAAAGGCTTTCCTAAACAGTCAAAAATAGCTGAAGTTGTTTTAGCTACTTTTGCCCCATCAGCAGTAGCATAGAGGCTATTTTAGTGTAGCAGACAAGATATGTGTCTTAAGAGAAGCCATTTGAGTGACAGCAACTAGTTTTTAAGTGCAATTCTAATGTATTTGTTTCTTTTTAATAATCTTATAAGTAATACATTGTATGTGTGATGGTGGCAAAACATCCTATATAAAAATTTGGGAAAAAGCCTACATCTAAATATCACAAGACATTGCCTATAGATGCTTGTAAAAAAATTAGAATTAATCTTAAATTAATTTCCAATCATAAAAAATGAAAAATTTAAAAAAATGTCAAAAAAATTTCCAAACGGTAAAAAACATCACAAATTATTAAAATGATACTTGTAAATATTCTGAATCTGTTGCAAAATAAATAAAAATTGATAAAAATCCTAAAACTGTTAAGAAAAATTCAAAAATAATTAGAAATTATTTTAATTTTTTAATATTTAATTATTAAAATTTGATTTAAATATTAATAATGAAAAGTTTAATGTGAGTATTAACAATTAAATATTTAATTAGAAGAATTAGAAAAAATGAAAACAATCATTGGAAATATTTCTAACATGTTGACAAAAATTGTAATAAATTTAAAAAAATTTGCGAGCCGTCAGAAAAATATAGAAACAGTAAGAAATAATTGAAAATTATTAAATAAAGTTCCTGAGTCTGGATTAACTTTTTGAGGCATACACACGACTACAGTCGTGTACCCACAACATAGTGATGGGCGATACTAGATGCTTGGCAATTTATTCTGATTATGTCAAATATCTGTAATTGTTTTTGCTTTTATTTGACAGCTCAAGGCTGCCTTGAATTTTTCAAATAATTTTTTGAAACAGGTCAGGAATAGAGGTAGGCAATACTATTGACTTAAATCGATGACATCAATACAAACATGGTATCGATTACTATTTGATTATTTAACCAGTATCGAAAATCTTTAATCATTACTTTCCGCATGAGCAGTTCTACACTATGCCCTCTAGAGCACACTGAAGAAAATGGCAGAAGCTGTAAATGCAGACACATAAACTGTTGTTCTGAGAGAAGGGTCAGAAGAGGAGGAAAATGGACAGAAAATAAAGTACAGGAGCCCTATTTGGAATTTTTTTGACAAAGGTGGGGGAACTTTTGCTTTTTGTATTCTCTGCAAAGTAAAATATCAGCATTCAAATAATACCTTTAATCTTAGCAAGGTAACTATAACCAAAATGGGTATTGTTACTATCAATTTTGAAAGCATTTACAGACAAAGCACTCATCGGAATGGGCCTTCTGTGAGGAAGAGTAAACGGTTACAGAAAGTTAGAAGCAAAAGAGGCAATCATTGGTGAATGAGAGGGCGAATAATAGTGTATGTCAACCAAATTTGGAAACTGTATTTGAAAGAAGGACTGAGTACCCAAGTAAGATAAGTGATTTTAGCGCTAAATTTATTGCGTTTGCTTTTCTAAAGTTCTGCAATAAAGCAGAAGATTAATGAATCATTGATCCAGATGATAGTAAAGGATATGCAGCCTGCTAGTATTGATGAGCATAATGGAGTTTGTTCATGTCCTGAACCCTAGGTATAAGTTTCCTAACAGATGAATGGTTGAGTTAACTGCTGATGCAGCATAATGAAGCTGCTCAGGCAACGATTCTAAAGAGGTTCAGTTGGTTACCATCACTACAGATTTTTGGACGTCATGGAGCACTGAAAGCTATATAATAGTATTGTCGTGTCAATTTACTGACAATCTCCAGAAGCTAAAATCTAACAATTTGTCAACTTCTCAAGTCAAAATGGATCACACAGCAGAGAACATTGCATCAGAAATAAGAAAAATTACACATAAGTGGGGGTGTCAGAGAAGGTCAGGTGTATTGTGATCGACAATGCTGCCAACATGTTAGCAGCAGCACGTTTGATAACATGGAAGCACTTACAGTGTATGGCTAACACATTAAATCTAGTTGTACAAGAGTCTATTGAGAAGGTTGAAGACCTGGCTATTTTATGAAAAGTGTCATCAGATAGCTATCTAATTTAAGCAGAGTGTTAAGGCAAAGGATAAGTTAGCAGAGATTCAAAAGCAGATGTATGCAGATGTTGCATCATGTATTCAAATTTCATATATCATGTATGTACATCTACTTTGGCAAAATTTTCGTGTATCTACTTGTATTGAGCAATAATTTTCATGTATATAGTCTTTATTTCAAAGAAGATACAAAGGTTACATAAAGATTATGATGACTGAATGAAAATAATATCAAAATCATAATTCCAAGTTATCACTTAAATGCAAGTAGTTCCTCAATGCTACTGCTACTTAGTCTTGTCCTCCTTTGATTGAGTATTATGCCAGCTTTTGAGAACAACCTTTCCACTTGTGCAGAGCTTGATGGAATGGAAAATAATTCCAAGGCAAGGGTCTTTAATGGTGACTCATTCCACTGTGACCAAAACTGTACTGGTTTTATTTTCACACAAGGACTCCCAAAGAATGCCTCAAGCTCCACATCAATTGGTGACAAATGGATCCCTTGACTTCCTTGAGAACTAGAAGTAGAGGAACTTGAATAGTCTAGTAGACGTTTCTTTTTTGGTACACAGCTAACCAGATCTATATTATCATCTGAAATATTAGATACCACTTCTGGTAACTGAGAATAAGTTGGTACAGATGATTGAAGTAAACTCTTTATTTTTTCCTTGACTGTTGTAGATGAAAATATGAAGTACTTTGAAGGAGAAAACTTGTCTGCAAAGGTAAGTTTAATCCGTGGATCAAGCGCAGTAGCTGCTTGGTGAATGCTTGAATTTAAAAGGTAAGAGAAGCGTTCGTGTATACACGTGCAATGTCTGCATGGATGCCACAGAAATATAGCTACTTCAAGATGTGACTCACTGCAACTCCTCGAATTTTATGTGAGAGATTACTAGAAGAGTACCAGGGTGTTAACACTTCTCTTTGTATGATAGATTGGAGTGAACTATGTCTTTCAAACCTGGAGATTGCTAGCAAAAGAGAAATTGTCTCGTTACATAAGCCAATTGAGGAAGTCACTAGGGAACAATCATCTCACAAATATGTGTCAATATCAAAAATAACACCATACGATGATTAATTTTTGCGAATGCCAATAAAAATTTCCATGGAAATGTTATAGATAGTTCCTATGGCGATTGACCACGTGTTTGTGCAATGACAGTGTTCAGCAGCTAATCAGCTATCTTTAGCAGCTTTAGTGGAGCCATTCAGCTCTCTTATCTCGTTTTATTCTGGTATGGACCACTACTTTTGAGCTCTTTGATGCTGGTCTGTCGGTCATGGTTATAAACCACACCCAAACCACATTATGTTTATTGACTTGGGTTTGGTTTATAATCATGACAATGGACCAGCTCTGATTTTGCAGCAAAGAGCTAGAAGGTAGTGGTCGATACAAAACTATAACGTGATAAAAGATCTTGATGGCTTCACTAAAGCTGCTAAAGATAGCTGATTAGCTGCTGGACACTGTAAATGTATAAAGACATGGTC